TCTGATTTCTTTTTAAAAAATGCGTTTCTAAAGTGCATAAACTTTTGGGATTGACTGTATAGCCAATACATCCTTAATAATATCAGACCCAATTACGAGAAACAATCGTATTAATTAAAATCAGAATGTATCATAGTATGTTACATTTATTGAATAGGAGCCGCGAACTGAAAAAACGTATCGCGTAACAACCATTCCTAAAAGTTTCGCAGGAATGATGTAATTTATGAGTGTATAAAAAGTAGCTAGCTAACCGAGTTCGATTCCATATACGTACGTAAGTACGTATAGGGTTTACCTATATTGGTCATCAGCCGATTAAAGCGAAGTCAACGACCAGTGTAAAAGAATTCCGGCGTAGCCGAATAAGAGGAGAAGAATGAGGCGAAGAAGAAGAAGAAGAATGCGGTGGGACCAAACGGTCGGAGACTCTCCGTTAGTCCACAATTTTCGAGTCCCATCGCATTGGGTGGGTCAGGAGAAGATGGATGTGCCTTTAGCAAATACCGTTGGGGTCACTCCGTGTGATCATTTTATCAACGAAAACATCATCAGTACTGTTTCATATTACTCCACCAATAATGCGAGGAATATGGGCTGATAATACTATATCGAAGAGTATATTGAAATATAAAAAATGTCTTAAAATCATGAGAAACAGATTAGTGCTAAATGCATATAAGACAAAAAGTCATTATCGATTTTGAGGCGAAGTTGGCCCGTAATGTTTATATCTTAATTTTGCGTCTAAGTGGGAGGTGCATTCCTTGGAACGACGCGCTGTGGCACTTTGATGTGAGCGTGCGTGATGAAGTACGGGAACCATTAGCGGAACCATTTGAATGCTCCGCAAAGCGTGCAAACTGAACGCGAAGGTTAAAAAGATGTGTAATATACCGAGTCGCTGGCCCATCCTCTTCGCCTGAAAACTGTCGCGCCGACTCGTTTACGAGGAAGTAACGGGACCACCGCGAGCTTTCATTTTCAAGCTTTACTTAACTGTGAGACTGCGACTGCAAATGAACTCGGCAACGTTCGTAAATGTTTGAACGTTTATTCTTTCCTCGGCCGCCGGAGATTAAACATGAATCTGTTTAAATAATTTGAAAATATCATAACATTAAATTATAACAGAAACACAATATTTGATCGAATGATTGTTTAATACAATAATAGATATAATAACTTCAAAAGGAATTGTAAAATGCCAATATTAATTCTTACTTAAAGTCTCATGACACATAAACTACATTTTATCAGAACAAATATTTGGTGAAGTTAAAAAGATAATATCGTAAATTATCCAGGTATTTAACAATATTCTAAAGTTGAACGTCACGGGACTATAAAGTTGTTAGTCACGGTTCTTAGAGCTGTCCGGCTCGTTGTCCGCCTCCTTTTCTTCTTTAGCTCGTTATCGTCGAGTAGCGATTCGAGTGTCTTTAATTACGTGCCGGAAACCTGGCAACTGGCCTGATTGGAAGAAAATTTTACGTTTAAATCGTGCCTCCTCAGATGATTTACGTGGCACTACGAACGCGAAAGGACTTCCTACTAGTCAAGATACTTAACACTAAACCAACCTATGTGTACATGCGCTAGGATCGTATCTACATGAAATATCACATATATGATATTTTTCGCTTTGCCCGTTCTTGTTTCATCTACATTATTCATGCCATAATGTACCTACGTAATGTTAAATATACACTTTGATTTAAACTCAAACGGAGTGCTTTTACAAAATACACATCAGGTTCGACAGATCGATCCACTCCGAATAATTATTATATTATATTTGAATAACTGACGTTAGTCCTACAAAAAAATGTCTAAAATTACGCACGTATTAACTTAGTACTCAACGCTATTAGATTTGTGTAGCAATGAATCTAATATTTCCCGGCTACTCCTGCTGGACACGAAATACCTTATGGATTACCCAAGCTACAGTTCGCTTCTAAACTCTGGCGTCGTTTGTAATCCTCTTCGGTCGGCTGCTGCCTCCCGGAAGAGCCGCGGTGTACCTTCAGGCATTTCAATCCTATTCGTCCCTTCCACGCCGGTGATTTGCAATTCGCGACACTTAACAGATCAGAAGAAGACCACCGATGCGGTCGGCGTTATCACAGTTCCCGGCGATTCTTCCGTCAAATCGTCTCACATTATCGTACTGGTTTTTTATGAAAATGCTACACCCTCAGATTAAACCGGTTTACGATGTTGAGAATTATTTTCATTACTTAATGCAGATTGATTTGAAAAATTGGATTCGTGAACGTCAAGGCGTACAATTTTTATACAGTTAGTATGAAATCTCATATATTTTTAATTTCCTTATTCAATGTGGATTTTTAATTTACGTTTCACATTCGTCATTCCATTCGAAAGCTATGAATTCCAAGTACGATTTAAATGAATTGCATCTACTTTGCTCTTAAAACGAACAACATAACGTTAAGTTGAAATGATCCGTGTCAAAAGAGGCATCGTTATCGCTGAAAAAAGCGTTCACTCGATTTAACCTGCAATTCGTTTGAAAGCATCCAACGGCGGATATTAATATAAATCAAGTATCTCCGCGGATGCTCGATCCCTGTTCTATCCGGCTTCTTCCTCCCTCGGAATATTCCAGTTTCCGTTCGTCTCAAAGAAAAGCGTCGAATGGAAACTTTG